AGGCGTCCTTTGACTACTTTTCTTGCATCCTCAGTAAAAACAAGTATTTGTACGCACATTATAATAGCGTCATGCTAGAATACGCAAATGTTCTAGAGAAAGTATGCGTCCTTAAAAAGAACTCGTTGTTTCTATATCATTTGAAAAAAGAAGCGTAAATATTTCTACGTACTTTTTCAAGTGTAAACAACGTAATGTCATCTTTTGATAATTCTTAATTATGAACCATGTAGTACTTGATATCATCATCGACAGAACGCAAAAGTATTGCGCTTTCTATAACAATTCTTGAGTTTATTATTCAAAAGAATGTCCCCTCTTCCACCTCGTCCACTCTTTATATAGCGAGCGGGAGAGAGAAAGAGAAAATATCCCATAATAAGAAAAGAAAGAGAACAATCATTGAGCATAAACAAAGGAGAGCAGAAGCATACAATAGACTCAGTTATGTAACCCTTATATAACATATAAGGTTACATTAAACACGATGAGTGATAGATATTCTTATATAACGTATGAGGTAACGATTGATGTTATAATAATGTTAGAACAGTCTATAGAAACAATCAACCCAAACAACAGTGACATTATGTAATGATAATACATAGCAAGCTCAACCGGGACTGTCACACTTTCAAAGATTTACGTATAAATGAATATGCAGCAGTGATGGTAAAATTTGTGTTTCAATTCATTCTTCACGTGGAATAGCAGGACTGTTAAAATATGAAACTATATCTGTTTCTGCTATTTATTATTACGATCGGTGTCATGAGCAGTATCCCAATCATGACAAGTTTCAAGATTACACTCGTACGATCCGAGGCGGCTGGATGATTGAGCAAGTTTTAGATGGTTCATACGCTATTAGGGGTGTCAATTTACATTTACGTTTCATTTAATTTACGCGTAAATTAAATGATAAGTAATTTATATTTATTATAAAGTAAACGATAAATGACACCCCTATACGCTATCCTTGATTTCTTCAATAGAAAGCTTTCTTCCAAGTCACAAAATGACCTGTCTTAACAATTTTCATTTGTTTTCTCGTTCTATCAAGGACTTGAACTTATTTCATTAACTTTGTATTATTTTCTAATCATGAAAATAATAAATAATCGTGATCTTTTCTTCTTCTTCTAATGAATCCTTCTCGTATAAAATTATCAAATCTAAATCTATCTTTTCAAAATAGAATAACAAAATTACACATCTTGTTAAACACTTCACTTGAAATTTTGATTCACTAGTGATTTTTGATTCTTGTTGACTAGTTAAATGTAAACACAAGATAGATCCAAGCTCTTATTATGAAGAATATATATTTGAGATTGTAAGAGACTGAGCCCATTATAGCGGTATTTCTAGTTTCGATGTTGATACCCATATTTTGTTTTTACTACATCTTTTAAAAAATTCTGCCACATAATTAACTGAGCCATTTTTCACAACTCAACATTCATCTACCAAGAGGAAATTTCTAAACTATTAAAAACGATGTGTTTCGTACGAAGAAGAGTAGTAACTTCGAGAGCTTTCAAAGTAATTGCCAAGTGAATTGCATGAAATGTTTGATTACGATTGTATATACTGCTTTCTATGACATGTATTGTATATATATTCGTTTTAGAAGAAAAGAAGTTTGGCACCTTTCTAAAATAAATTATTTTAAAGCAGGAGCTAAATAGCTTCAATCATCTTTACCCGTGTCTAGTTTTTCACAGGTTTATATATATTTTTAGTTTTTGCTTGGAATATTTTAAGTAAATCACAATCAAATATACATAAAGTAATAAATTAAGTTATAACATCAGTATCAATAATAAATAAATGACGAATTTTATTAACACGTCACTTAAGAGCAAGTATGAACAGTGATTGATTAATCCTGCCCCATATAATTTACAATCTAGATAAATATTACACATAGAAATTTTTCTTTTAAGAAATATATGTGCTCTTTTTTTTTGAATTCGAAGGCTAAAGCATCCTAGATAAAATGTGAAAATCTTCTGATAACATACCTTATATCTTATACTGAGATAAAATCAAAAGCTTCAGGAATGAATGTAACTTGTGTTTACTATAGTTATTTTTTACATAGGATATTTGAATTCATTGACGTGGATGTGGGTGTCATTATGCGTGTGAAAGTGAAGTATTGATATTTACACGGATCTGGTGGACGTGAGAGTGCATTAAGAGATGTAAAATATCCCCATATTCACACCCTCACATTGAAGAAAATATAGTCTTCCCGTTCAAGAGCACCATAGTTGAATTTATTGTTTTTTTAAATCTATTCACAGTTCCTTAATCGTAAAGGCGTATTATTGGAAATTATCCTAATTTGGCAAAAGCAAACGAGTTGAATTTTTTTAGAAAAAAGGCACTTTGAAATGTATTCGGCTGTCCTTCTTTCCTTGCTGCTTTCGTTTACAACATCGACAACTGGGAAACAAATCCAAAAAGGTTCAAAAACTAATCATAAAACTTTAATTCGAAGTTCGAATGAATAAATAAAAGAGTCAAATATATTTTTTGTTACATCAAACATTTTATGATCATTTTGACATCCGCTTAAATAGTACAAGAACTGTTCATAAACGAAGAACAAAAACTGAAATAGTATCGTTTTTCAAGGATTTTAGTAGTTCATTTTATTTATTGTTGTATTCATTATAACCATCTGATGTTGATTGTGAATGGTTTTGAAAAATAAAAGCGCACTCGAATGGTCATAAAGTCGAGCAATACAAAAAATTGATTACAAAGGATTTTCAGGTGTCTTTTTCAAGAAAAGTATGCAATAGAGAAAAACCTGAGCCCATATATGCTCATTCAACTAGCGCTGATGTACTAAATGTTGTCAATAAATAGTTGATCGATTGACTTATCAACCTATATTCATAATTACATTAGAAAATATTTTCGAGTTTCTATTCGAGAATAACTATAAAATCCATTATAGTAGTTGATGAAACGTCTGTTTGTTTCTTCGTTTCACCGTTATTAATGTGATTATTGGTGATAAAAGAAAAGAATGATTGACCCAGGTTTATTCAATGTCACACTAAAAAACGAGGTAATCGCACGTTGACCGAGCTGATTGACTGTTTACAGGTGTATAACTTCACTCAGAAAAAAAAACACAGAAACAAAAATATTACTGTTCTGTAAGCGAATACATTCTTCAAATAGCTGATAATCACAAATAACATATCGAGGCGTCTCAAATTGCCGCAATGTGATATCGTAGGGGAGGCGCTTCAAAACGTTTCTATGTTTTGTCGTTTAAGGCGAAATAAAGTTGTGGACATTTGATTCACATCATTTTTTTTGTTTCATTCTTATCTACCCTGGTTGCTTTCCAGTGAGGCAACCATTTAATAAAAGGTAATGGTTGACATTTCTCTTATGAAGTCATTTTTCCGCGAATAGAGACAATAATTGTATGTCTATCTGGGATGGTGCTTCATACTTGCTTGAAACGCATTCAAAGCCAAGTCATAAAGTTGAAGAAGTTTTTTCATTGATTTATAGAATCAGACGTGTTTCAGAATGATAATTTTTTCAAATGATGTTGTTGTTAGCTATGTTTGGTTATGAAAACTAATAAAACGGGTGTATCAGGTTAAATTGACGCGCTTTACATTTCGGTTTTCATTCAGTGAATATGTTGTATAAAAAAAAACAACATATATCGCAAGATACAGCGTAAAACGTTCTACAATTTTGCAATAGACAGTTTGTTTAATAGTTGCACTTTTTGTTTTCATAATGAAGAAATTCCGAGTGATCAAATTTCGATAGTGGCAACGATGGTTGCATAGAATCTTACTTTTTTTCAAAACAAATAAGTGCACAATTCAAAATAGGCTTTACTCTGTAGATGATAGAGCTTTTCACGCTGTATCTTGTTGTGTATTTGCTTTTTTTAATACAATATACTTAATCAATGAAAATTGAAATGTAAAACATGTCCATTCAGCTAGGTGTATCCGGTATTAAAGGTATCTTGATCGATTATTGATTATTGTAATCTAATTTAATTTTATCACAATAAAATTTGTTGTAAAGTTTTCAGTTATTGAATTATTTGCTCTATTTCATAATTCATTCTAAGCTAACAATGGTCACCGGCGGCAGCAATGTATATAGACGATAGTAACCTGATGACAAATGAATGTCTCTGTTTGGAAGGAAATGAATTACCAATAATTACGCTATAAGCATCAGCATTGAATGTCAACCATTCAATGAACGATATAAAGATCCTTATGAATATTATCGCACACGATTGATTTGCAGTAGCATATTTGTATGGGGATTACTTTCAGAAAAAATTCGTTCTATAATGTTTATTTTGTTAGCAAAATTGTGAAAAAGAATTTCATAAGATCTCACAATCGTCTAGAGAAATGATGCTTTTTGCAGAACTCACATATATGTTCCAAGAAAATGATAATAGTAAGTTTTAAGTTCAAGAGTGTGAGTACGGGTAAGAGAGAAGCCATGATCCCCATCACCATCCCACACATGACTAGCATTAGAAAAGAACTATCGTCTTTTAGAGAATTTAAACATCGTGTATTTTGTCATTAGTATAATGAAACTAAAGAAGATATGGGAGTTGCACATTTCAGCTGCGAAGGGGCGACGCTAACAAGCTTTTTTTTTACATACATTTGCAATAATGACGGTTTCTGAAGGTAGTTGACAGAATGAAAAAATATATTATTGTTTTTGTTTCTTTGTTGATAAGCTTTTCTTTCGTAATGGAAGTGAGTGTCGACGAAAAAAAAGGGTCATTGTTTCTATATTGATAGTGTTTCACACAAAACATGAGAAATATTATCTCATAAGTTTATTTTATAGATTATACTGATAAACATTTTCATATTGTTAGTATATAAAGTGAGTCTGAGTCTTATTTTTTTTATTATCTTTTGCATCTAATTGAAGTATTTTATTCGAAGATTAAAAACCATAAATCCATGGTTACATTAGAAGAGAATCAATATGTACGTGAGGGTCGCGTTCATGCTCGACTCGATATCGCTAGTACTTATAATGACAAACATATGATTGAACTTGCTGATCACGAGTTTATTGTCTATCCAAATGTTTTCAGTCCTGCCGTGTTTCCTCTATCAGATACTATTGTCAAAACATGGCTTCATCTCATTCGAACAATAAAACCTGAATCGGTACTTGAAATTGGTTCTGGAGCTGGTTATTTGGCCATTCTTGCTGCTCTTAATGGTGCTAATCATGTCACAGCTACTGACATTACTGAAGATGCAGTGAATAATATTCAGGCTAACATTGAAAAGTATAATTTAGGAGATCGAATGCGAGCTGTTTATGGTAGCGTTTTTGAACCATTTGATAAAAATGATCGATTTGATGTTATTTTTTGGGATATACCATTCAGTCATATTGACAAACCAATGGAAAAACTCAATGCACTCGAACGTACGGTTTTCGATCCAGGCTATACACTTTGCGAGGCATATTTGAAAGGTGCTCAAGAACATTTAACAGATACTGGTCATCTTTTTATGGCTTCTTCTGAAAAGTTGGGTCATCCAGAAAAATTATTAGAGTTGACCAACAAATATGGTTGGCGTTTGCAAATGGTATCAAATCCTGAACAAACGACATCGAATTGCGAAGGCATGTACGATAATAACGTCGATATTAATATGTTTGAATTGATCAAATTGTGATCGATATGATAGAAAAAGACTATCGGTTTTGTGCATCTTTTTTCTTAATGGCTAAAAATGGACCTGATTTAATTGATTATTCTTTTCACTTAATTCATAAGTTTTATTTCCTTATAATAAAACATGAATCAATGAGCTGAAGGAAAATGATCTTCTAGTGATTGATTTTTGTCAAAGCACTTCCTTCAATGAGAAATTATTGACAAGCCGTTTTTTATAGATTAAAAGCTGGATGTGAGCGTAGATTAACGAAAAGCATGCATCCACACGCACACCCTTGTTTTCAAATAAAATGCTACGTGAAAAAGAAGTGTTATGTGTATTCTTTCATCGTAGACGTTGTTGATAAGTTCTTGCATCTATACAAATGTGTTTGTTTTGTCATTAATAGGTTATAGCTTATAAAAGCCAACATCTACGATTGATATAGATCAACGCGTTACGCATGGTTTTACTAAGAGATGTTGAACGAAACTATGGGCTTTTGCTATTTTGTTTGACGTTACTGTCGATCTTGTCACAAATTCATGATTTATTCCGACGAGATTGATGGGAAATAGCTAAATGTCTGCATTTTCTTTGATTCTAAAAAAAGCGATTCGTCCGTCTAAGAACTACTAAACTCATAATGACTTCAAACAAATTACCTAGCACCTTGTTAAACAAACATGAATTGAACTGAAACTTTCACGAATTCTAAAGATCTATAGTCCACTGAAGTCTATCACAGTCCATCACCCACATACCCTGCACTTAGCTATACCAGTCAATTTAGATTGAATAGCTTGGCAAAATATCCGTTTATCAATGCAAAGGTAATCATAAAATATATTATTAGCCTAAGATTTATTTTGGTTCATAAATATAATTAACAGCAAACATTGTTAAAATAAAAGCCCAGCAAATCAAAACCACGAAACGTCATTCAACTCCATCTTGTTTGTTAATCCCATACTCTTTCTACTAAATACTTCTACATTTGACAAACATGACCAATTACGTAACATTTTTCCCACAATAAAACACAACAAAGCAATTATGTATAATACAATAGGCATATCAAAAAGTGAAAAAGCAACACACATTTGAAAGATCGAGAAAGACCGAAGTAACGTCTGTTATTTTATAGTAACAAGTGTAATTCTTACTAATCTAATTGAAAGTGAAAGTGAATAGAGAGAAGATAATCGAATTCAAGAGTGAATAAAAAGAAACTATACTTCTATTTGCTGATGTGGTTGATGCTGATTAAAAGTTGCGTAGACATTTGTGATACATATTTGGTTAAAAATTGGATATTAGAAGTGAAATGTTTCATTGAAACAATTATAATAGGAACATGCATATTTAACACACGTTTGACATTCATGCCGAAGTACAGTATAATTTAATAGAACACATGTTGTATTTGCAAAGACTTTGACGATTTTTAGATTCTTTATATAGAAAGAAGCTGACATTGAAACCCAAATAATGCACGAACTAAACAGGCGTATTGTAAGGACAATTACAACACCTTTAATTACTGCATACCATACACGAACACAAGACTCTTGATTATCAAAGACTTATACGCATGCTTTCTTGAATTTTTCATACATAAATGACGTCAGCACTTGGTAGTTGGCTCACAGAAATTCTTATCAGTTTCGTTAGCAACATGATTCAACCTCACCTATAGTCACCTGATAGAAATGTTAACATAGTCGACGAATATCATACAAAGTGGTGACATTTTCGTGTTCCATCGTCAGAGACAGCGAATATATTTCTGTTTTCGTCGTAAAAAACTGGAAATATATAGGGTATGAGTGTCGATGTGACTTTCAGTCTTCTTCTCACCGATACTCACATCACGGGATATTTATCATAGTCAGCAACATAGAAGAGACCATTGAACCGCACTTTTATTGTTGTTGTTACAAATGATGAGATTATCTTATTCTTTGGTAATAATCATATCCGTTCGAGAAGAGCATTTTTAGTCAATTTTCATAGTGAACAACAAGTTAGAACTAGTCTCCTTGTTTCTGATATTTGCCATGAAGAAAAATCTGATTGTTTGTACTGAGTGATGATTAAAGCTCGATCTTTGAATTAAAGCTCAAAAATGTCGTTACTGATGATCACAGATATTGAAGAAAACGTGACAGTGTTCGTTCTTTCGAATAAACTATTGGTAAAAATAGTTGTAGACGATTGAAATCACTGTTGAATTTGAATCGAAATCGATCAAAATGAATGATGTAAAAATCTTTATAGCATGATAATGAGATAAAACAGTAAACATATCACTTGTTTATAATCGGATATTGATTTTTAATAGATATGTCCATTGGAAAATTATTTGTATTATTTTATTGGTATGTATTTACAAGTGAAACTATGTAGTTCAAGGAAAGTTTCTAATAGTAGGAGTTTCAGGAAAAAAACTATTAAAACAATTCTGTGAGAACTGTTGAAACTTGACACTGAAAAACATCACAATATCAGCTAGCTATATAGAAGATGTGCATATAGCGATTATTTTACTTATGTTAAAACATTTTTTGTTGTTTAATTTTTTCTCGAAAAAAAAACAAAAAGAAATCATGACACAATAAATTCTTATTTCTATGAAAATGACTTTTAGTTAAGTGTAGAAAATCACTTTTAATATAAAAAGAACACAGAAACGAAGTGTATGCCAAGTTAGATGAGTATAGAGAAACGACTATCAATTGTTTGTATGACTATACATGAACATTTTTTTTCGAAAAAAATGAATGCGTCTACGACATGTAATCATCTTTGATTACTTATTGATTCATTAAAAGGTGATAAACATCAATTTTTCAATCATTCTTTTCCTATGAAACTTTCTATCGACTAATATTTCTTGTTATTCTGCATATGAATAGTTATGTTTTCTTTCTCTTATAAGATTGTAATCTCAATAAAACCAATTCATTTAATGGAAAAACTATTCTTTAGAGGTAAACAATCTATTCTTTCGAATAGTTTTAAGATGAAACTATCATTTATACTATAATACATTATAATCTAATAATTTCTGTACAATAAAACCTGTTCTACGTCTTCATGTGAATGTATTTTGGCAGATGAGAATACATGATATTATCTCTAAATTGAACTTAATATTCATAAATTCATAAGATATTTTATTTTTTATAAATGTCGCTCGTTCGATTGCTAGCTGAGTTTCTAGCTTGATCGAAGAAGAGTATTCTCTGCTCAGAGTCAGTTTAAATAGTTGATGAAATCTATTAATAATATCGAAAACGAATTCGACGACATGTTAATTAAAAGCAATATTGCCATCACTTGTCACAAAACAACATATACCAAGTAGAGTAGTCAGAAAAGATGATTGCCGTGAATATACGATTTTTGGATCAATGCATCCTTAAATGCAAAAGTTATAGAACACAATCAACGAAACCATAAATTGGACCATGATGAACCAACGACATTTATTTCAATGTATATCTGAAAATAGAACTATTAAATTAATTGATTCACACATTTCCCATGTCTAAGATAAGCTAAGATTAGTATTCCCTGCTTTTGAGCACTGAACAATTTTCAATCAGCATTGTGAGTATGAGTGTGAGTGGCGGTGTGGAATGTAGGATGTGGGTGTTTCTTTAACTTACACTCACACCCACACACCCTGCGGTGCATTCTACTGGATTATTGTTTCAGATTTGTTTGACATACACAAAAATGTCTCATTTCCGTAGTAGTTTCTTTTTCCATTTCGATTTTTGATCACTTAATACGTTGTATTAAAAAAAAAAGAATATATCACAAGACTGATTATAAACATGAGTAGTTTAACTTATGCTCTATCTATGGGTAGGCATGTGAAGAAATAATAAAATATGGAGGAGAACAAGTTAATAGAAAAAAAGTAATTTTTTATTTGTGAGAAGTTAGACGAAGAAAAATGCTTATTGCATTCAGTGAATATTCATAAGATTATTGAAGAATTGAATTCACCTTTCAGAATTGACACGTATCTGAATATTTGAAATTTCAGTTGAATTTTAGTTTAACATGTATGTTTGGTTTAAGCTAACATGTAAACTGTCAGTTTTTTCTGATTGAATTGTGAACATTTTATTTTTGAATGAATTTTTTATATTTTGAAAGTATATTTTATAGTCGTGATCACGACATTTAAATTTCGATCACGATAACAATCACGAGAAAAGGCCATTTATCACTCACGGTCATGATCACGAGTGATCATGATCGTTATCGTGAAATTTTTGTTCATGCAGTACACAACCACATCCCACACCCTAAACAGGTTTTTTATAGTTCTGACAACATCGTCAATGAGCTAATGAAGAAACATTCTCATATGCGCTGCCCCGTTTGCCCTTAAATTGTACCTATATGTAAGGGATGATTAGATTAGAATAACCTCCAAAGGGGTCATGCTCTTTTTGAGATTTGATCGAGATATTAAATTTTTACTGGATTTTTCGTATAGGACGTTAGTTTTCGAGTAACATCATATCTTCGACTTTCTATCTGAAACTGGCAACATGAAGGTCTCGCTATGACTAACTCATGTGTAAAGTTTCATCATTATTTTGACATTGCATCTTTGAAGTATGAGCTTTTCAAAAAAAAAGGGCACTTTTCTATAGATACAATATAAAACATGGATATTTTGAAAGATTCATATCTCCGAGATGCAATGTTCAAGAATGATGAAACTTTATACATGAGCTAGTTATAGAAAGAACTTCATGTTGAGAAAGTTTCAGATCGAAATACGAAGATATGATTATTACTTCAAAACTGGCATCTCATAGGCAAGATCCGCTAAAATTTCGGTATCTTGACTGAATCTTAACAAGAGCACGAACTCTTTGGCGGTTATTCTAATATAATTGTCCCCTACATATGGGCATAACATGAAGGTAAATAGAGCGGATCATTTAGGGAATATTCCCTCGTCTGTAAAAAAAAATCAACAAGATAAT